ACTTTTCAGGCATGTTACGTAATTTTATAGTCTCATAAAAGAAAAAAAATCTATCGTAGAAATGGCAATATAATAACATCCAGCTTGCCTCGGGGTAGAAAAGAAGAAAGCAACGAGAAAGGTACTCGTGGCGAATACTTTGGACCATGTTAGTACTGCACTTTAATATAGGTAAGTCCAAGTTAAGCTCCTTACCGATGACGATACGATTAGTACGGTTGGCTGGACTAATTGCCTTCACGCAGATAGAACTAAATCAAAGAAGGGCCAGCAATATGAAGCGAAAATAATATCAATTGCTTTTCCCAGAAAGAAGACTAGCACTCTTCTCTCATTTATATAATATCCTATTCTTTCATGCTCGCATTATCGATAAATATCGTGTGCCTGGCTTGCATTCTCGCGTGCCAATACGAATGCAAGTCGAGAGAGAGAGAGAGAGACTCCTCGAAGAGTTTCTTCGTGATACACGCAAAACCGATAATCGAATTTTGTTTTTATTTTTAATGACTTTATGCATTTTGCACAAGTTGTGGGAAACGTTGGATTAAATATTCGCCAAAACTCAGGACAAAGTAACGATACTTTTTTCCTTTACTTTTAGTATAAAGTTTCTTACGATATTCTATCGAAGCTTGTTTGCTTGTTGTTGCATTTCGCGTATAAAAGGATTATCGAACACTGAGAAGCATAGCTGCGAGTATCGTCGACATTTTCACGATTAAAGAACTAAATTGTTGTCGGAGTTGTTCTTGGTTTGGTCTGCTCTCGACTTGCGAAACGAAAGAGGTAACGAGACTCGATCGAAGAGAGGAAAGACACAAAAAGGAACTTACAAAGTGCCTTACCATAACGTAGTGCCTCTGCATCTCGGTCTTCTCACTAGCTAACTTCTCGCACTCAAGCTTCAATCTGAAACATAAAAAAAATCAGAAAAGAGAAGAGGATAGAATAAGAAAGATAACGCTTCAATACAAAGGACCTCGCACAGATCACATGGAAATGTGTCTCCCGGTTAAATTGGCTGGAATTGAAATATGTTGTTGTCTTCGACATCCCGAACAAAAATCTTAACGATTCTCTAAATTCACTTTTCAGAGACATTTAAAGTGGTAATTTAAACCTTAAAATACAAAATTTCGAAATAGAAGTAAAACGCATGCAACATGCATCGAATAGTGCGAATCAGTCGATAAGCAAAACATCATCGAAAATCAGCTGAGAAAATGAGGAAGAATGTAGAGGAAAACTCGTCGTCTTGAATAATCGCGAAAATTTGAGGAAACATGATGGAGCAAATACAAAGAAAAGGAAAAGAGAAGGACTAAAAGAAAATAGAAATGCTCGAGAAACGGGCGAATGATGAGGAAGAAAAGACCAAAAGGAAAATAAGCGAGGAAAGAAAGAGAGATACTCACGAGTGGTACTGCTGCTGGATGAAATTGAATTCCTCTTTGATCCTCTCGCAAGTGTCCGCCACCGTGAATTTCAGCCCGCCAGCAGCCCCGCCGCTACCGCCGCCGCCCTGTAAGGTAAAAAAAGGATTGGAGAAACGAAGGGATTCAATTAGCTATGTATACACGACAATGTGAACGCGATAGAGGATACGTGCACACGTGGGCGTTAAAATCATGCGCGGAACGCACTCGCGACGAATAAGCCGCATTCGCGACAAACAGCCTGCCGTCACTTTGTGGCATTGTATTTAATCTTTTTAGCTCCGGGGCCAATCAGCCATCCACGTGCAGATCCCTCGCTATTAATACGAAAAAATGAACTAACCGTATCTGCGGTTACGGACGCAGGCAGCTAGTAGTATGGGAAAATGTCCGTTGTCAAAAATAATAATGATATTTATACAAAAAAAAGTTACATATCTTGTCTGTGCTCTTGAAAATCAATTTCAATTTGCTTAGTATTCTTTGCTTACTTGATACTTTATATACGTATACATTACTACATATTACATAAAAAAATATTTACTTAATTTTAATATATTTTTTTAAATAACCTGAGTATAATTACTTATAGTAAATAAATATTTACTCAATGAAAAATTATATAGTTAAATCAAATTAATAATTTTGATGTCAAATGAATATATATTCAACATGTTTAATTAGAACAGTTTGAATAAATATTTATTAAAATTTAGTTTTTTTCAGTATATAAATAACAACCATGTATAATTTTTGTAAAATATAATACATATATATTATATGCAAAATATAATTATAACTTTTTTTTTCAAAAAAGATCATTATTTAAGATACTAGTAACACCATTATCAAATCAATCAATTAATAATTGTAATATTATTATTTTGGCTTCAGTTTATGATTGCATTTCAAATCCGGCATTTAATGGCGCGCAGATTAGTATATAACCAAAAGATGTATTTATAGAATTTACACTTAAAAATATTATTGGGCATCAAACTCGATCGTGTACGCTCTTTTCGAAGTTATATGATTCATTCATATATCTAGATTGTAAATCATTATTATATGTATATGTATTATCGTTAATAGGAGAATTTAATTTTTCAATAACTTCTTCAGATTAAGATTTTATTTGTTAATATTGGAAAGAGAGAATTTTAAATTTTAACTACAGAGAAAAATCTGTAGTAGACCGTTAGTCAAAAAGCGCGACAGTTTCTCGTTTCGTCGGATCCCTTTGAAAACACATTTTAAGTCGCGACGTGCTTAAAGTCGAAGATGACAAGGAACCAGCTACATCGAATGACCTTCGAGCACATAAGGCGCACGCAAACACACAGGACCAAGCTTAGAAATGCGAGCAAGGGACAGCCAGGTATAAAAGACGAGCGTTTTCAAGCAGGGGCAAGAGAAGATGAGAACGAGAGAGAGAGAGAGAGAGAGAGAGAGAGAGAGAGAGAGAGAAAGAGAGAGAGATATGAAGGGACGAAAGCGCGGACCTGAAGAGCCAAGGATGAAGGGCTGTGAAGGCGTCCTTAATGAGACCCATTCCACCAGATACCACGAGATTCGTTCGAGTCTACCACTCTCTTCAATAAGAAAGAGAGAGAAAGAGAGAGCATCAGATACACACACACACACACACACACACACACACACACACACACACACACACACACACACACACACACACACACACACACACACACACACA